ATATATTTATATATCTTTTCAAAACACATTATTTCAATAAACAACAAGACCAAAATTAAATGTATTCAGGAAGACCACAGAAACTTGTCATTGTGCAATCTGCCAGCCAGGTTTCTATTAAACGGCGCGTAAAACTTGTCAAGAATTCGCCTTGTCTTATTCAGCATCTGTCCCAGCTGTTTATCTTTCTCTGTCTTTTCAAACATTCGAGGAAGTTTAGAAATACGATCAAGTTCCGCCTCTGGTAGTGGGTCTGAGGAATAAAAAGCGTGAAATTCAGGTAACTATTCACACATAAATTTTAACAGCCAATTTTGAAACATCATCTTAACAATATTTCTCAAAAAACTAAATTTTAGTCCAATAAACAAAAGACAAGATAATCTTTTTGAAGAACAAAACTGAAAATCAAAGTTTTCTTTGAAATTTACAGTCACAGTGTCAGTGATTTAAGACAATAACGTTTCCCATATTCAAAGTGCTCCTTGTACAACAATTCTGATCACACCGAATCTGAAGTGAATGAACGTGCTATTTCAGAGAAGAAAGCTGCTAATTTACCTCCTTTTTTGACACATTCTGAGAAAAGGAAAGGATACAGATGTACATATACACCTGTCAAATCGAAATCCGAGCTTGAAATGTTAACAAGACGAAACAGTTTCCGATTAGGTTACTTAATTATCATGACCCGTAACTGTGGAATTCTGTTGAAAGTACATCATGCTAAAAATAAAATACTATTTAAATTCCGCTCTTGAGAAGCACAATCTCTCGTTCATGATCCATTTCACCAAGGAACTGTTCACGTCACTGCTCCAGCATATTTCCAAAAAAAACCCCTCCCATCTTTGTCAGTAATCACAATCATGTAGCTGACAGAGGAGCCCAGATAAACCTCCCCCCTCCCCTCCCCTCACCCCCATAAATAACCTCCTTTCTTTCTTCCCTCTTCCACATACCCTAATGGATAATCGCCGGTGTTATCCCAAAATTGTCCAAATCAATTTCTACGAAATTCCCAGGTACAGCGTTAATCGAAAAAATACATTTAGGAACATCTTACAATACTATAGTTTCGTACTGTTTCATTCCTTCCTTCTATTTTTGTAAAAACTGAAACAAATAACCAGTGCCAAAGTCATGGTTTTGATTTGAGTCCCCTTTTCTTCCCTTCTTCTTTGTTTTGTTTTGTTTTGTTTTTTCTTTTCTTTTTTTAGTTTAGTTGGGTTTTTTTGGTTCGTTTGTTTTTTTGTTGTTTGTTTGTTTGTTTTTTTGGGGGGTTGGGGTTTTTTTAGGGGTTTGTTTTGTTTGTTTTGTTGTTGCTGTTTTTTTTGGGGG